CCGATGGTTCAGTAGAAACTTTAGGTATATACATAGGACACAACAAAGAAATATGTTTAGAAAAAAAGTGGGAAGATAAAATTGATAAAATTTCTAAAACATTACATTCATGGGAAAAGAGAAAGTTTGTGCAAAGATTGTTTTTAAAAGAGGTGACAATAATGACTATAACAATGCAATCTAATGTATTTCAATTTCGTTTGGCTTTCCATCAGCTATATTTACAATGGAATGGCATGATACTTGTATAAATATCTAACAGCCTCCTCGCTAATTTGTGATCGTTTTCTGTGGCAACGTTGTTGTACAAAAGTATAAAAATAAAAGTTCGTTTTGGAAAAAAAAAGGTTACAGAACAAAGTCATCCTTATATTTACCGTGTCTCGGCCCCGTTCACTTCCTTTTTTCAAAAACCAAAATAAAAGCTCACATAAAGACCATAAATCCTTATCTGCCCTTGGAATGACCATCTATCAGTGCCTTTAAGCATCTTTAAGGAAGTGTATGCCGAGGCGTTCCTGATGTGGATAAAAACACTAGTGACATGTGTTAAAGGACTTATCGCATGATCTTTCAAAATTCGTAATTTGAGAAAAATATTATCTACAACCTTGTTTATTAAAATACTGAATACAATAAACGTTGTTGAAAGCATATTTTAAGAGAAAATGAGAGTTGAAATTCAAGTAAGGCAATATGCATATTTCAGTCGGATTTCGGCGAAATACAGCTCTGACGTCATAGGCGACAATTCATAATACAGAGATGAAAATATGCACACTATTTACGGAGTTATCAGGGACAAATGCAGCTTAATTACGAAAAACACTGAAAAAATTAATTCCTATCGTGCTTTTTAATTACTATAGAGACATTAACTTGTTCTAAAGTATAAGGATTTTGGGATATTTTCGTTTTTTATTCGAAACATTTAGAATCTGTACAGCTCCGGTTACGGCAATGTTTCGTGATCGGAAAATTATTTTTCAAGACCTCCATCCTTTACAAAACATAAGTAAATTAATATTATGCTAAAAATGAAGAATAAAAAAGTTATCCAATATTAAATTTGTGAATCAAATAAGTGAATACATGTGATAAGATTACAAATCAAATTTTATTGTGATGGTGAATTTCTTCGTCTTCGCCGCGTCTCCGTCGATATCGTCGCTGTTATTTTTACATTTGTAAACATATTTTTCAGATTTTGTTCTTGCTGACAATTCTTAAATATAAGGTTGGATGTTGAATTTCATATCGATAAAATCACAACGCAGGAAAATCAGATTGTATCGCGGATATTTTAGTAAGATTGACGTGAAGAATTATCAGCCATTGTCGCCTATGAAGTCACAGGGTCAAGTGATCGCTATCTAATTAACTTGGATTTTTAATTCAGGGGTTTTCATTTGAGTCAATAATTGGTTAAATACTGCGGTTTATCCGCAGTAAAAACACAAAATTTATAAACTGTGGTCATAAGGAACGTTTTACACTTTTAATTTCAAATAATTTAGAAACATTCGAAGAGTCCTTTAAGATTAAAAGGAGAATGCTTTGAATAATTACAATATAACCAATCTGTGATCGTTTTTGGGCTTTTTATGTTCTTATGGTATACTGCAATATTTATTAAAACTTACTTCGTGTGTAACCAGATAGGTTAGCGCGGTAAAACAGGTTATTGAAAGGTTGACAAACATGAAAATAACTTATTTGTTCCAGTCATATCAGCTGTGAACTCTTGGATGTATTAGATTGATTCCACTTACATGTGCAATGCTTAAAAGATGTTTCCTATTGCTGACTTCCTGTATACATTATGAGTTTGAAGTGGAAGTCAAGACTGCCATGAAATGGGTTGATCTGCGCGATTAAAATTATTAATAACCCAATAGTTCAAGGTAAATATTTTTTTTAGAGAAGGCAGTATTTTTGGTTCCTCATAAAAACATGATTTAAAAATCAATATTACTTTGCTTGCATCAGAATATTTTAACTGGTACTTAGCATTGGAGGCTCAATGAATGTATAAGAAAAGAATTACACACCAAACTCCAATATCTATGTCATTTTCATCACATATTTTCAAACACCTTTTATCAATCTCTCTTTAGGCTCTATCTGCAGATTTTATCATTATGTGATTGTTTATGTTTCAAGTGAAAGGGGAAAATGAATCTTATATGTTTACCTTTCTCATATTTTAAAGTAATGAGTGTGTTTAATATAACATCAGATTTTGGATACTTTGATTGCAATGTCAGACATAAATGTAGTTACCCTAACAACTAACAAAAACTATAAGTTTGAGATTTATTTTTATGAAATGATATGTTTTGGAATTTGTATCTCGTCTTCCTAAAAATATTGTGTAAGTAAGAGAGAATGAATTGCCTATCAGATTGAATATGCACAATGATTTCTAATGCAAATGTGATTTCTACTTAAATTTTGTGAAAAATCTCACTACGTGCCTAGAAGTTTATTCAAATCTTATCCCTTCTGGTGTTTATCTGTCGTATATGATAAAAGAAACCTATTGCAAAAGTGCAATCACTCCGAAACACAGATTTTTTCCATGCTTTTGAAGATGGTATACGTTTATATAAACTTAAATCCAAATAAAAACCCTTTTAATTCAATGAAACATCCAGGTGATTTCATCTATCCCCTGTACACAATTCTCAACACTTTTCATTCTTTGAAGAAGAAATGTCTCCAGTTCCTTGTAGATGTCAGCTTGTGCATATCGAGCAGAATATCTTAATTTGATAAAATACTTGTGTGTAAATAAAAAAAAAAAAAAAATTAACATCTTTGTCTTTAAAACGAAGTAATAGCTAATTAAATTCACATTTTGTTTACCAAAAGTGAAACTTAAGAGCAAAAACTGTATACTCTCTTACAAATGGCTTGATATTTAAATAGGACGCAGGTCTGCTTTTTTTTTTTTTTCACTGAAGGAAGTTGGTTGCTGTAGCTGCATTCGGGACATAACATGGTTGGGTCAAGTCAGTAGAATAAAAGGAAAGGTTGAAGGTAAAGGTCTAGTAAATGAGTTCATACAGCCTTATGGAGCAAGATCCATTGTCATATTTCAGCCTTGAACTTTTCCGTATTACACAGCAATCAGTAAATTATGTAGAAGAGTAACTAAAGCATAACTAAATGCATACCCATTTTCAACCTGATATTCTTTTAAAGATGTCAAAAAACATACAAATTACCGTTTGATGAGAGACTGTAGACAATCTGGATACATTTCATTTATGTGGCATGAAAAAAATGTCCCAAATTTAAAGCTGACCTTCAGTGTTTCATTGAAAAAGAAAGTTAAAAAAATATTTTGTACATTTTAACGAAAAAGTATGCCCCTATCACCTCATTTTACCGAGATGCGGTTATTTAGGTTTCACACACTGATTTGTCGACGGATTTTTCCGTTATTTCCTGATCATGACAAGGAGCACACGGCGGGTCTTACCGGTCGGCTGGGGAATGTTTTTGGTTATTTTTACAATAAGCAAACAAAGTACAAGATAAAGGGGGAGAGAAAATTGCATGTTCTGGCAAATATCTGCTACATTTAAGTTGATTTGATCGGAGAGTTAACTACATTGTGTAAACCAATCAAATTTAACAGTTCAACGACTTAATATGATTTATTACTTATCCTTAGGTCGCTTTTAACCTAGATTTGTTTTGTCTTGACAAAATCATTAGAAAATATAAATGGGAGGATGATGGCAAGAACTATAGAAAACTATTAAAAAAAAAATGATATATATGCAATGTTGATTTGATAAGTTGCTCTAGTTTCTTCTTCTCCAGCTCAGCTTTCTTATCCTTCTAAATTGTTAAAAGACACGAGGCTTGCCGAGTGTCAATTGACGATAAAAAGTAAAGGATCAAGAGTTGGGGGTAAACTCTTAACTAAGGAACATAAGGCATAGAGTCTAGACCTTTTCCAGGTAGCCATATTAGGGAACTATATAAATACCAATACATCATTACTGCTTGTTTATAATTACGACAATTACTTAAATTATAAAAAAGGACTTTAAGCAAGAACCGTCACGTGGTATAACCATTTCGATGTCAAGCCAATAAATAAATAATAATAAAAAAAGGGGGGGGGGTTCCCTAGCATGTTAAAATAATTCTTACTCAGAGTATGTAACCCGAAAGAAAAATAATTGTTCAATTAACCAATTGAACAACATATTTGGGGTCGTATCTGCGGAAAAAGAAGAATTACTCATAAATCTTGTACCGTTTAATTCTTATAACAGTTATAGAGTTATAGTTTATAAAGATAAACCATCAGTCGTAAGAAAATTTTAGGGAAGTTAATGTGTAAATAGGACCTATAACATGTATTATTGGAATAAATCTTACTTAGATTTGTTCTCTTCGTTTTCTGCTTTAGAGTAGGAAGAGTTTAATATGATTTTGGAAGTCTGGCAGTAATCTGGTATTCAGCTAAAATTTCGAGAAAAAATTCATTATGAAATTAATAGTTACATAAATTAATATAAAGCATTCTTATACCTTCAATGCAGACAACTTCCTTTAATATCGTTATGGAAGTGGATTTTTGAGAACGTTAACCATTTTTGTCTCATTTATTTTGTTATGTCGAAATTGTAAAGGTCTTCATTATCTAACTCAAAACATTGTCAGATCTGCATGGGTTATGTGCATTGAAAAAAAAAAAAACATAACGGAAGTTTATTATTTTTTTTCGTCATGCTACCATTACGTATTATCAAGATCCATGCATTTTCTTTTTAGAGAAGATGATTGTCTTCTTTTAATATGGGGAAAAAAATTAAAAAATGTAATTAATTCACAACAGAATTATGTTTCAGTTATAATTTTGTAGTCCGTTCTATTCCAAGCATTTTTTTTTTTTTTTTTTTTTTTTGTATTTGATACAAATTGATTCAATAAACAATATCGTAATGATTAATAAAAATCTTTGATAATTGCTCTTTTATTTCCTGTACATAGCTTTACAAAAGAGATCTTGTGAATTTGATAACCAATTTCTACTTGCATCTTTTTTGTATGAACTATTCAATAATCACCTTCTTAGTTCTTTCTTAGTAATGAAAAGGTATGCAACCAGTAACAAAACTGATAATGACATGAGAAATGTTATGCCAAAAATCAGTAATTTTTTTTTCTTTCCTGTGATCAAAAGGTAGGATCTAGTGTTATTTTGGCATAAATACTGACTGTCGTCCAAGGTATCTAAAAAAGAAAAACATACGAAATATATATGTTTATATGATAGTCATACTTATAATTGAAATTATTGTATCTCAATTTGCCATATTAAAGTGGTATGTTCCATGATAATTCATAGTTTGACGATGTGCTGTAGCTAAAAAATACAGTTTCTGTAATATGAATCAAAAGGCCTCTCAAGGAAAGTTTTTTTTTTTTTTTTTTTTTTTTTTCCGAGGTGCATACATTAAATTTATATTTATAACACATGCATTTTGAGAAAAATTGAGATTTTATGTATTTATATGTGTTATGTGTTAAAAACGGTGCACATATCCACTAAAACAATCTGTTGGAATCATTCTTGTGTCCAAGAAATCTCTTAATATAAGCGAGACATTTTGCAATATGAAATTCGCGATAACGATCATTAAGACAAAGACATGCATGCAAAGTATAAGAATAACTTAATTGCCAAAATATTTATGTACTGTATGGAAATAATTTGCATAAAATGAGTAAGTTCAACAACTGGTATTTTCAACAAATTGATCAAAAAAAAAAAAAAAAAAAAAAAAAAAAAATGCAAGCGCATATCTGATGAATGTATAATTGATCTGCTAAATAAAAACTTCGTATCCTTAAAACATTAGGAGGAGCTATTTAGACAAATGATGTACGGGGACGCCCCCATTCATTAACCAGATTTTCCGATAGAAAAATCCTGATAAAAAAGTTTATGACTTAATTGAACTTGAATCCAAACAAAATGGGATATTTCAATATCCATATGATCGATATGTTCCTGCAGATGAATATTGTTTAAGAGAATTTTGCTTTCTTTTATGCATGTTATATAAAAAAATGATCCCCGCTTTAACCGCAACCTAACAAAAGAAGTCCTTAATGTGATAAAATGACTCTACTCAAATTGAAAATGTTAACATTCAAACGATCTTGAGTGCCCAAGCTCCTCTTCAAAACATTTTTACTGCATCTCTTTTTTTCAAAAACCGATCCACTACACCGAAGCTACAACGATTTGAACAATTTAAAATCGCTTTTATGTTAGATACTTTCATGTAAGTTTCATCTTTCCTGAGACAGAAATGGTTCTATTTTCGCCGTATATTCCTATGTAAAGCTTTGATACCGCAATATGGTCCCACCAACGCCTAATGTATATGATTTGATCAAACTTGATTTTGCACAACCTGAGTATGCTTGCATGCAAATATCTTAAATCATGACCTTTATTTTTTTTTAGAAGATTTTAATAAATCCAAAAACGAATCCCCTATCCCTTATTGTGGCCACACCCTATCCCGGAAGCCATGTATATATATAATTGAATTCATACAACTTGATGATGCTTGAATAACATCACTAATCATTACCCTGTTTTCTCGAGAAATAGAATTTCAGAGAATTTTTTTTATATTCCCATTTAAATTTGTATCATTTACTTTGACCCCTTCTCACCCCAAGGCCATGATTGAATCTACACTATCGAGATGTTTACGTTTAAGTATCATTAATTAGGGCCCTACTTTTCCTGTGGATACGGTTTCTTTCTATATACTAGTATAGTTTGAAGAATTTCAATTAAATATTATAGTAGCAAATGTTCTCAGGAGCTTCATCTTTTTCTGACCGAGCAGTTCTAGTGAAGGAGATTCTGCATAAATTATATAATAGATAATTCAAAATATCTTACTATCTTTAATATATCCTTCTGTCTTCAATAATTCAGAGTTGGAAAAAAGACAGATAGATTACACAATGAGTATGTAGTGGCCCCAGCTGACAAAGCAGGTAACAACATTGCCCTTGTTGTACTTTAAGGCTCATTTTTTTTAAATTGTATATTAGATGAATTGGGATTAAATTCTGCAAGTGGTATTCCAACTAATACCCATTGCCCCCTTTCTATGGGGGATATTCTTCAAAATCATGTCAGTTTTAAATATTTTGATTGTTCCCAAAAATCAAAATGAATTTGAATTACCAAACCTATACAGGGTTCCTAAACTTCATAAAAATCCTTACAAAGATACATTGTTCTGCACACGGTTCCAGTAAAATTAATGTTCTACCAAGCCTCTTTCTTTATTCCTAACTAAAATATTATCAGTAGTGAAGGCGAAACTTCAGAAGTACCGTACAACACTGAATTCGAGAGGTCGGGTAAATCAGATTTGGATACTTAAAAACCCCAAGGAACTCTTGGGAAATTTGAAATCACAAAATTTTACCAAAATCACTATCGTCAAAACGTAACGACTTTTCAACACTTTATACAACCCTACCCCACGATAAATTTAAGTTCAGGCTTTTTGACATCATAAACAGCTGCTTTTCAATAAAAATGGAACTCATAAATTTACTTACCTTGTCATTGGTCATTTTGCAACATAATTTTATTTAAAAATAATTCTGATTGTACATACAAGCACTCTGAAGTAGGTATTAAAGCGATGGCTGAGTTTCTGATCGGCAATATCTAAATAGTTTTTAAAGATCAGGTCTTCCAACTATCTGTCGGAATATCCAAGGGAACCAATTGCGCCCCCTGTTAGTACAACCAATTTTTGTATTTATATGAAGCAGAATTTATTTAGAAGATTTTACATGAGATGAGGAAGACACTTGCTGTGGAATTCAACTAAACATTGAGATATGTCGACAACATATTATCAATTAACAACAGTTACTTCGATTCACATGTCGAATCGGTCTATTCCTGTGAACGTGAGATAAAAGATACCAAAGACTCTAACATATCAGTTTCATATTTCGATATTTTACCAGAAAAAGACATTTTAACCTGACAACAAAACTTTTTGACAAACGTGATGACTTCAACTTTTCAATCGTCAACTTCCCTTACTTATGTCGCAATGTATCTTTATCACCTGCTATGGGGTTTATATCTCCCTGTTGATTCGATACGCAACAGTATGCTCTACGAGGGAACAATTTCTTAGGCGAGGAAACGTCTGACAATCAAGATGATGAAACAAGGATATCAAAATCTCGCTTACAGTAATCATTTATGAAGTTCTATGGTCAATAGCATAACGTTGTCAGTAAATACTAGTATAATCTATTATTAAGTCGAATGCTGACTGACGTTTTCCATACTAATTGTCAGACCATTGTTTACACACTGATATGTTTACAGATTGTTCGGTTTTTCATGACAAGGAGCACACGGCGGTGTGACCAGTCGACAGGGGATGTTCACTCCTCCAAGGCACCTGATCCCACCTCTGATGTTTTAGAGGTCTCCGTTTGCTCTGCTCCCGATTCGTATTGTTTCAATGGACTTTGAGCTTGATTACTCTTCGTTTTTTCTCCATATTTCATGTTATTATATTCTTATGTAAAATCCTTCATCCTTTCTTTGGCTCGATCCTATTGCCCCGGTCGATGATTAATACAATTTTAGAATCTTAACTTTATAAGAAAGCTTGAAGATATTTCATCTTTTCTTTACCAGTGGTTCCTCAGTAGAATAATTTCGAAGCCTTTTGTTTTTGTGTCTACATAAAATTTGGATCCCCTATCTCAAACCTACTCGATCCCTGAGACCTTGATTCGAACAATTTACATTTTATAAAAAAAAATTAAAAAAAAAAAAAAAAAAGGAAAGAAAGAAGCAAAGAGAAAACTAAAAAAAGGTTCACCTTTGCTGGCCATTGGTTTCGAGATTTTTATAATTATTATTGTTTTTTGCGTGTGTGCATGTGTAGGTGGCGGAGGAGGGGGAGGGGATGGTCGTCGTGTATATACCATCTAAAATCCTAGATTATTCCCTATTGTTTCCCCTCCCTATATGTGTATACCAGGGACAATAATTGATACAATTTAATTCTCACATTGGCAAAAAGCTTTCACATGTTTCATTTCCGTGCGCCCCCGCTTTCATTTAGACTCAAATCAGTTCCTTTTAAATAAGTGACTTTTTTTAAAAAATACTAACTTGAAATACCAAAATGTAGTTATGCAAGACATAAACTGATGCCACATATAATGAATAGTATATATATATATATATATATATATATATATATATATATATATATATATATATATATATATATATATATATATATATATATATATATATATATATATATATATATATATATATATATATATATATATATATACAGACTCTAAAACGTGCTACTACACCTCAGAAACGAACCGTACCGTTCCGTGCAAGAAGCGTACCGTACCGTGCAAGAAGCGTACCGTACCGTGCACAAAGCGAACCGTACCGTACACAAAACGAACCGTACCGTGCAAGAAGCGTACCGTACCGTGCACAAAGCAAACCGTACCGTACACAAAACGAACCGTTCCGTGCAAGAAGCGTACCGTACCGTGCACAAAGCGAACCGTACCGTTCATGAATATTTTTTTAAATAATTATGCAAGCCACGCCCCGATCTTGCGATGACCAATTACAGTAAGTAATTTTTTTTTATTATTTTCGACGCAGCGCACGTTAAAGAAGTATGGAAAATAACCCTAGAGATTCAAAATATCATTATTAAGTACCATGCATCTGGACTTAATTTTGTTTATATAAGGAAACTACTCAAAACTATAGTTGCGACTTCAAAACAACTCGACAGAGTGTGAGGCGATTCCTTATTCGCTATGCATGATCGGGTTGTGCTTGACTAACTTTTTTAATATTAAATGCAGCATCGTAATATTTTCGTGTACAATTTATAATAAATAAAAGTGAATTAAATGTTATCGTTTATTTCTATAGTTTTTATCTACCCTATTCTTGTCTCTGTTAACGTTCTCGGAAACCAGGACACACTGAAAAAAAATGTATTAGGATTCTGTGCTATTTTCTGAAATCAAGCCCTTAAAATCATTTTTTTTTATTCATGTAAGTAATAGATTTAGGGAGAAATGATTACAGATTCAGCAAAATAAATAAATAAATAAATAAAAAAAAAAAAAAAAACAGAACAAAAAACTACGTACTAAATTGTCAAGTTAAAACCGGACATGTTAAAATGTAAACGCCTCTCAATCACTAGAAAAAAAATAAATAAAAGCGATGTATATATAAATAATATGTGTTGGTTAACACTCTTCTGACCAACCCAAGATGTTATCGCCAATATAACATACTGTCAAAAAGTTCGATCGCCACATTTTCGCATGGAATTTTCAGTTTAATACAAGTAGTCAAAAAAAAATATCTGGATATATGTCAGAATTAATTTTTATTTAAAGCATTTTCAAATTTCATTTGCTTTATTCACTGAAACCTGCAGGTAAAATATGTTACCTGGAATTTACACATAGAGCCCAGTTTAATCTTTTTTTTTTTTTTTTAAAAATCCGTAGCCCGTGCATGCGTATTCATCCAAGTTAAAGAAACACATACTGTACATTTCTTGCGATGGTCTCGTTATCTAGACTGACATCTTTCTATGCTTTCGTTATTTACTCTAAAACATTTGAAAATTTCGATCATTTATTGTCATCAGGGTGCACAGGTAAAAACTTAAGCTGTGTATATTGAACCGTATCTAATCCCGTTAGTCCAGATATGCCTACATTCACACGTGTATCAACAGTTTGCTGTCTTATACAGTAGGTCTACAACAATGAACCAGTTTTATTCAGCAGATAAGTAGAATTTCATGTGCAGTCAGCTTTTCTTCTAGATCTTCAATAAAAAAAGTTTGAGTTTGACAAGGAAACAAGGTCGGGGGGGGGGGGGGGGGGGGCATAGCACCCGGCATGGGCAAATTATTCATTATCAAAGTTTTTGAGAACATGCATGGCTGCATATTATTTATTTTCTAGATAATTGAAAACGAACTATTTATTTGTAACATTTTGACATATTATTTATTTCGGAAATCTTTCTTTCCAGTCAATATATATTATAAACATTTATACATTGTAGATGGAATTGAAGCTGTCTTAACCGTTTTCTTGATTGTAACTTCCCTTTAAAAAGCGTTTTTACACATTGATGGAAAATTTATGTTTAAAGGAAAACAATTACGCGCACAAAAATTAAATAATATTTTGCACTAATTGTGTGCACTTCTACCGATTACTTTTCAATGCATTTTTCCTTGTGAGCAAATAAATAAGAAAATAATAACTTATTTTTTAATTGTTTGTTTGATCATTCGGTCAAGAGAAAAAATGTTTTTGTTTGTTTGTTTGTTGTTTGTTTTTTTTTTTTTTTTTTTTTTTTTTTTTTTTTTTTTTTTTTTTTTTTTTTTTAATGAAGCAACAGCGACAAGAACGTAAAAAGAATGGTAGACGAAATGAAAGCACGAGGGATTTATAAAATCAAACTCATTTGTTTAAAAGTGTGATAAGTGAATATTTAAAATAATAATTGTATTCAATTAGGAAAATGAAAAGGAAAATAAACATATGTAGGCTTATTCTTAAAAAAAAACAAACAAACAAACAAACAAACAAACACAGAAAGGCCTTTATGGCGACGCAACCAAAATATTTTTTTTTCATCCTTGTTATGCGGTGTTTGTTGATATGTTCGATTTATTTCCAAGTTATTGAACCATAAGGCAATGGTGTACGAAATAAGATAATAAATAGACAACTAAAATTATTTTATTTTAAAAATTGAAAGTAGTTCATACAGAAAGTAAATTAAAAAAAGATACAGTTAATAAGACAACTAGTTAATGTAATAACGAAAATACAGCTGTAAATATTTATAACAGCTTTAACTAAAAAAAAAAAAAACTTATCAAAAATGCTTGCGATACCGTCCTTCCATTTATATAAAATAAAGAGATTATAATAAAGAAATAAACGACTTTATGAAGTAGCCAATCATAAACTAAAGCGTACAGGCTCCGCCCACTTAATTTACATACCGTTCACCAAAGCGTACCGTTCACAAAACGAACCGTTCCGTGCAAGAAGCGTACCGTACCGTGCACAAAGCGAACCGTACCGTGCACAAAGCGAACCGTACCGTACACAAAACGAACCGTACCGTGCAAGAAGCGTACCGTACCGTACACAAAACGAACCGAACCGAACCGTGCAACTGGTGTAGTAGCACGTTTTAGGGTCTGTGTATATATATATATATATATATATATATATATATATATATATATATATATATATATATATATATATATATATGCATATTTGTATTTGTAAACATTATAACTTAAGTTTGTCTGCCATGTTTAATGGCCTCGATTTATTTCATTTCGGTACAGTTAACGGAAATTCGGAGAGGTTGCTGTAAATGAATGTAGGTTTTCCTTATGTTAAGAATAAATAATGTAGTACATGTAAATATGAAATTTCAATTTTGAATGCATTGTTTTGATTAATTAATTTATCTATTCATTTCTTAGTGATGGCATAAAACAACACAACTTATTAACGCCGAGATTAACTTCATCATGCCTATTCTTGGTGTGAATCTCAGGTAAACATGCGAGAACTGACATGGCTGCTGAGGAAGCGGACTAATAAACTCGTTGTTCTATCTTACCTTGAAGTCGTGTAAAAAGGGCCGCATTTTTTTTTACAAACTTAGACTACCATTATACCTATAGGACGTTTAGCTGAAAATCGATATATTTTTCCCTGTTCTACCGTAGAAAAAAAGATATATTTCTTTCATCATTACCGGGATCCATGAGCAGCCTTCTTCCAAAAACGTCAGATAAGAAATCGAATAGTATTAAGTATACATAACTGTAGATAAAATCTTACTGAAAACAATTGTCATGCACTTAACTTTTACATAAATTTTATCTGATAAATTTATATTGAAACTCTTAAAATATGACATCGGGGTATGTGGTTCTGTTTACTGGCTTTTATTTATTTATTTATTTATTATTGTTCTTGCTTTGCATTTCCTGGTAGGCAGAGAAATTCGTATTGATTCTGCACTAACCAAATTGAGTTTTTACAAATTGTTGAAGACGCAATGGAATCGTAAAAAACACAATCAAAATAAGTTGTTGTACAATTAGTTATCATCTAATTATTACCAAGAAAATAGGTTCTTGTACAATTGTTTACTATTACATTTATACGTGTAATAAAATCCCCGAAAAATCCATAAACATTGTGCTTGGAACATGGAATGTATATTTTTAAGCAATGGTTGTAATACTTTGAAATTACTAATTCCCGTGAGTGTTTATTTATTTATTTATTTTTATTATTATTATTATTTTTTTTTTTTGTTCTCGTGGCATTAAGAAACCCTGGAATTCATATACTCCACAATTAAAGTGTTACAATTCTCCTCGTTTCTACTTTAGACAGAATCTCAAATCCCCCAAGCCAACTTATTTTTTTCTTTGACCCACGAAAACAAGTGATTTTATGGTAGTTTATAAACGTTTTATATTTAAGTATATGTTTACTTCTAAGAGAACGATACAAACTTTAGGAAACATGCCCTTTAATTTTCCGTAAATTTGCAGTAAATGATTATGTACTTAAAAAAACTTATATAAGGATTAGTATACCTGGAGTAGATGTCAGCATTGTAAACGTTGATTTTTCAGTTTGTGATGGGGATAGTTGTTCAATAGTTGGAGATCCAGCTGCATCAAAGATCAAGTGAATAAGTATTTCTTATTTTGCACTAGGAAACTAATCTATAAATTCTAGGGTAGAAGTGTAAATATGATTCTAATTTTACATAAAGTCATCATTATAAGATAAAGTTAATTATTTATTAAGGTTTATTCTTACTCTGTTGATATATTATACCTTCACATCCATTGGAAAAATGACAAAATATCTGTTCACAATTACATGATCTCTGACATAAATATCCATAGGATGGATAGCGGCATGAGATGTTACACTGGGGCCCAAGAAATCCAATATCACAATCTAGGAGTAGATTTAAATGTAGCCATGTTAAAAGGAAAAGGAAGAATTCCCTTGCATTTTGCTTTAGTGAGAAAATAATAAAAAAAAATATACATACCTTAATTTACAAAGTTCATGGTTGCAAACATGTTAAGAGCGGTGACACAAGCATGGACAATCTTTTCCAAGATACGGAAAAAGCATATAAAAGTACTATTCTGTCCATGTCCAAATGTCTGGAGAAATATTCAATTGAAATACTCGCAAATATAAAGTGTGTGTTAACAACTGGTTTTGAGTAATATACCTGTACTAGATGACAACATTGTTATCGTTGCTGTTTTAGTTGATGATGGAGATGGTGATTCAAAAGTCGGAGATCCAACTGCATGAAAGACCAAAATAAGAATTTATTTGTACTGGGAAACTAAAGCAGTTAATTCTTGGCTGGATAATCGGCCATGTTTTAATTTATTTGGTCGAAAAAATAAATACCTTAATGCTGAGTTTTCCTCTCAAGACAACTAAATTTTACCTTCACACCCAGATGAAACGTTGCAAAATCTTTCCTCACAATTGCATGATTTCTGACAAGAGTACCCATATGCAGGATAGCGGCATGGAATGTCACAGTAGGGTCCCGTGTATCCGATGTCACAATCTAAGTAAAGTGTTGTTATGCTTAATGTTAAAAACAAAAGAAAAAGAAAAAATGCACGCATTTTCTTATTTCTATCTTTCCAAAAACTATATAAATACTTGTAAAACAGCATATATACCCTCGGGTAACAATTTACAACCATGTTCAAAGTTGCATTCATCTTGAGAACAGTTACAAATCTGTCGACAGTCTTTTCCAAACTGTGGGTAGGAACATGCAAAGGAACAATTTTGTCCATAATATCCGTGATTACAGGCTACAATGGATAATTAAATTTTTCCCGATTCAGTTAGAATGACAACTGAACAGCACAATTATCAGCACGATGAAAAATAAATTAAATATATTATTCTACATTTGATGCATATTTTAAATCGAAGAACACGAATTAAATATCGCTTAAAACTCGTAATTTCAATTGTATTAAAAGTAAGAAAGAAGGATATTTTTTTTTATTAAGCTAACTTCTGATTTGAAATAGATATATAGATATTGTAATGATCACCCAAAAATGAGCTAAGCAATACCATACTTAATATCTTTTGAATAATAATGTATTTTACATACGTATGCAGCTAGTAAGTCCCTGATTCCACGTAAAACCCGAGCAACAGTCACTGGAAAAAATAGAAATACATATAATTCAGCAGCTCTTTACCATATATATATATATATATATATATATATATATATATATATATATATATATATAGAGAGAGAGAGAGAGAGAGAGAGAGAGAGAGAGAGAGAGAGAGCACATTTTACAACAACTCTTAAACTAACATAACTGCCCTAAGTGAAGAAATATTAATATAGAAAGCACAAAGAAGTTCACTTTTATAAGGGTATCCACCTCCGCCCCAACCCGGGGTTGAACTCTTTACCTACGGAATCTATCTCCTTGCAGTGCAGGAACAGCGCGCTAGACCGCTCAACCATCTAGGCAAGTCATAAAACTTGCTTTTGATGCCGATTAAATTCTCGCGGCGCTCTCCTACACTACATGGTCGTTGAGAGAGAGAGAGAGAGAGAGAAAGAGAGAGAGAGATGAAAACAATATATCTGTTAAGTCTAGTCCAGTAAATCATGAATACTTTCGTTTGAAAATAGCCTTAATTTTTATTTTTTAAAGAATGCGCGCATGTGTGATGCATACAGTTAATTCACGTTGTGTCAGTCAATACAGAATCTGATGTATTTAATCATCAAAAAGTTGCTAGAGTCTCAGGTATAAGTTGAAATTAAATGAAAATATAGAATATATTTAATAAACAGACTATCACTCAATGATTTGATTGAAGTTTTCTTTTTGGGTAATTCAGGTCCCATGCAATCATTAATGTAAGAAAATATGTATCTTTCCTATCCATTAAATTAACTAATGGAATTTACAGGAATCTATGCAATCATTACATCGGATTTATCATTAAAAAGTTATTTCCAGGTTGTTTACACTATAAATGTAACATTTAGAAATAATATAGTTTTCAAAAGCTCCCGATTTTATCTCACAAATAGATGTTCTTTGGAACATTAGCTGGTAATGCCAGAGATACCAAAAAGCATGTATTGCACAGAAAGCATCATTGTTTTTTAGATATGAAAAAATATATATATAATAGCTTAAATACTCACTTTCCGCAAAGTTCCGTCCTGGTGTAGCTAAACAGGAATACTAATGTGAAAAAGATGCATATCCTACTATATATTATAGTTAACCTTTTTGTATGTTTCATTTTTAATTTTTCTTACTACTAGAGATAATCAAACCGTGAGGATTACAGTCTTCTAATATTTAATGTATAGCGAATGTGGATGCACTCCATTCCACATTAGTCATCAAGGAAGATATATTCGAGTTGAATGATTCACATAAAAATATAAATATCAAAATCCGTTTTTCAAGAGTGAACGCAGACAGATCAATATTGTATGTTCCAGTGTGCGCTTAAACGACACTTACATTTAAGTGAATATGTCAAAACATTATAGATAACACATGTTGATATTCTCTGAAAACACATTGGTTAAACGCGCATCTTCTTATATGAAACGTCAAAACAGGTATACAGAATTGTATCTACATGTTTTTGGTCTTTTTGAGTTTCCGTTACATGCCCTGTCGATATATCCATAATTAATCTGCAGACTTCCTTTTCAAAAGGGCAAAAACCTTAATGGTCAACTGAGTATAGTATAGTCCTGTAGAGGATCCACAGAAAGGCAATTTTAAAATAATATACTTATATAATAAAGAAAAATAAAATGATAAAGGTTTATGTGCTCCTCAAAATCAAGAAGAATACATGTAAGATCAACAAAATACGAAAAGTAATCTTCAGTGGTTCTGGAAGTAAGTTTACATGTATTTCTCTGCTCCTACAAGCTAGTTCTAACTACACTCTCATTTGTCACTATATCCAATCTATGCAACACTATTACCTATACTGTATACATACTTATCATTCTAATAACACATCTGCTAAGTCAAGCAAATTGACAAGCTATGAAGTAAACTCAATGCATTACTCAAAATTGGCCTCTTGGGGTCTTAGCAAATATGGATATGTTTGTCTCATTTTTATTTACATTTTCCTATTTTAAAATCTGCACGACCATTAAAAGATATAAAAGTACTTTTTACGTAAGACATTAGAATTTCTTGTATTTTTCTTTCATTCTACTGACGTTACAAATGTATTCATTACAATTATAGATGAATAAAAATTTGATCAAATACGCCCTGCATCAGGCTCATTTTTTTGTTCGTTTGCTTGTTTGTTTGTTTGTGTGTGTGTTTGTTTGTTTGTTTGTTTTTTGGGGTTTTTTTTTTTTTTTTTTGTTCTTTTATTTGTGAATCGAGTATTTTTTATGGTTTTTTTTTTGGTTGTATTTCTTGATATTTCAAACCATTTATATCATGTAATATCAAATGTTTGTGACGTTTTTCATACAAATTGTTCTGCAATTATTTTCATACTAAAGTTGACTACGTTTATCTGACAATGACGGGCACACACAGAAGATATGACTGGTTGACAGAATTTAAGATTCTCACACCTCTATAGCACCTGATCCAACTTCTCATGTTTTCAGAGCTCAATGTTTGCTCACAATTTGTATTGTTTCATTGTTCGTTATCTTCATGTCATAAATCTTCAAAAATATACGATGTCCTTAACAAATTTTATCGTGTAAGCATCTGTGTGAATACAAGACTATTTTTTTAAATCAAGGAAAAAAAAAAACAAAATATAAAATGTTTATTTGTAAAGTTTTTGAGCTAAAAAATAAGTCATATTATGTTTTCGAAACTTTCATAAATAAATGGAAATCGTGTTTCAATTGTACATTTTAACACACCAAAACCTCTCTCAAAAACTGATGTTTATACTATATAATTACGTTATCTGAAGTGATTCTTCATAAAAGAGCTTCAACGTTCAAACTTGAAAAGGAAATATAAAATTCTTATTTTCAAAAGGTCAACATCGTTTCCTTGTCACTTTCATTTTATCATTTTAGAACAATAATTTATCGACATACGGTATTCAGTAAGAATTTCCTTATGTATGCCTAAGCTCATTTTCGACACCTTACCACCACCACATCCACTGCGGTCTTAGCTCCAAGGCCACATGTGACGCACACACGTTTACTGAATTCAACACATACTTGGCTTGAAAGGAAAAAAATGTATTTCGTAACATTGCCAACCAAAAAGAGGCAAAATGCACTCTAAAAATAAACACATTTCTTTGGGTACTTAAACAAAATTTGAGGGTTCTTAGAAAGTGCTTTAGATGTGCTTTGATCCAATTGATACGCTCAGACTCTCATTATGTTGTAGTTTGAGACCTGGTTCAAATTTATAGAATCGATAAGAAAAACTGATCATATTTATCTTGTTTTATGTATACTTGATGATATTTGCTCAGAAATATAGGTGATCCAATACCATTTGTCAGTTTATTGTCATTATCACAAATCTATTATTTAAACAAAAACAGAAAATTGGAACTTTAAACCTTTGAGTTAAACCCCAAGTAGAATTTGTACCCAACTTTTTTTTCGTGGTAATAATTTACTAGCACGGTGTAATCCAATACAAATCGTTAAAACATTTCATTGATTAACGTCCCTTTCGAGAATTTTTTACTCATATAGAGACGCCACCACTTGCCGATGGAGAGCTGCAAATTTTGACCTAAACTCGGCACTCAGGGCCATTGAGCAGTGAGGGATCTTTTTCGTGCCAGCATCTACTGCGACACGGGACCTCGGTTTATACGGTCTCATTCGATGGACCGGTCTTCACGTCCCACAGTTGGATTCGAACCCGCGACGTAAGGATCAACTCCTTACTCCGCGACTCTAGAGTAAACTTTCTAACCACTGCGTCAGGAGGGCGACCTAGTCATTAATAAAGAACATGGTGTTTTATATATACATGTACGAGGGGTGATCAAAAAGTTCCCCAACTATCTCCACAATTCAGATCAGAATGAAATTTGGCACACATATAGTCATACACATGTTTTATAAATAGCATATGTTATATAATGTTTTGCTCTGTGTTTGTGAAGTCACAATGTGAAAAAGACGTCAATATTTAAGTGACTTGTGACAAAAATTGGTTGACTCAGTCGTACTCGAGCAACGAACGGCTGTAAAGTTTAACATGTATCTCTGAAATTCCTTTACTGTAGAAAAAAAAATAATTTGTACAAAGTTTATGAAGACAAAAGACATCAGAAGTTCAATCATTAATTGGATTGATTGTTTTATTGAAGTCAGGGAGATGATGTTTGTTCTGTTGCCCAGCGAAAGCAAGCCGGTAAAAAGATGTTACCTTTCTTGGGCAATTTGTTTTGAAAGATCGCCAAATTAAAATTAGAAAAATAGTTGAATATCTTAACAATAATATAATTATTAAATCCCTAAAAATCGTTTACTTTAGACTTTAAACATATAAGATATGAAAAAAGAAGACGCCCATACTTTTTCTACATTGGATAAACGACGCTCCCGAGACAGAGGACACGGGTTGTGATGGTCACCATGCTAATTCTGGGAAGGGATATCTTTATCCACCCATCCCATCCGAGATTTGGCCGTTTCTGACAGATGGTCTGTTCTTGTTATAAAAAATAACTTGGATGGTAAGAAATATAAGACTCGGAAAAATCTCTTAGCTTTTGTGAACAGACCGCTTCGGAGCACGTCACGTGACCACCTGGATCACGTGATTCGCGCATGGGCAGAAGAATGACAGATGTGCATTAAAATCGGGGAGGACTACTTTCAAAAAAATAATGAACACTGAAACCTCATTTTATTTCTTTTCAGGAAGTAATTCAATTGGTTCGCGAACTTTTTGATCACCCCTCGTAATTATTCAATTTATTTATTTGTTGTTGTTGTTGTTTTAATTTTTTAATCTGCATAAAATATTTCAATGAAATGCTTGTGAAGATGTCCACCTTTATCAAGCTAAAAGGTTCATTTAAACAATACAAACTGAGAGCAGAGCAAACACGGAACCCCTAAAAAACATCATTAATGAAATTTAGATCGGTCGCAGTTGCATAATTGTAGGGCGCTCGCTTTGTGATCGGGAGGTCCGGTTTCTTGAGGCTGCGCCAAGCCTAAGACGTATAACATAGGTTAGTGGGTGATCCTTCGCCAAGCGCCGGGCATTAGAAGTGAAAGACACTAGTCTGTCATATTTGACCTCAGAAGAGTAGGTCCCTTTGTCACGTTAGGCACTGGCAAGAGAAAGAATCCTCACTGTTCATTTGCACCGAGTGGCGAGTAAAGGTCTGAAGAAACACTCCGTAATAAATGGGGCTCCAGGAGGGCCTTGATTGGTTTTAGTTTTATAAAATGCTTGTCGATTTCTGTTCCGGTCAATGCCTTTAGGCAACACATATGTACTTATTTATGTAGTACATATGTTCTCATAAAACATTTTCAGTACGTAGAGACAAGAGGAAAATTTTCATAGACATTAACCATGAAGTACATGTATCATATTGACAATGCATTTTGAGCTTGTTATCTAGAAATCTTATCAGTTTGAATTTTCTCTTTTCTACTTTTCATTGTACATAATAAATGGTAATGTCTATTGATTGGCCAAAGAGCGCAGAAAATCTTGCGCCGTAAATTGCACTTTATTTACATTACGGGATCTGCAGCGTTATGGTCAAAGACTAAAATGTAAAACCATAACGCTACAGCTCTGCAGCTACATTCTTTGAGGTCCTTCACTGGTAATTGATGACATCTCATATATCAGTGAAAAAGGGGAACGTATAACAACAATGAAGCAATCAAGCAATTAATTTAATAAAATTTGAGATTCACAAATGAGTTAAAGACTATATATCTTTTTTCTATTCTAAAAAAAATGTTTCAAACGTCTTCGTGTGATCATGTCAAGTACATTTATTGAAAGTTAGGTTGTCAGTACACACCGACTAACTGATCATCTATACATCTCATTAAAATGCTCAAATTTTACGAAATATGTACCACTTTATTAGATTATTCATTGGTATTCCCCATATATACTAGTTATTTGTGATTCGTTCAATATCAAGATCTTTTTCTTGTCAAACTTCTGGTCTTCTTTATGTAAACTGGACCGTGCAAATATAAAGAGAATCGAGCATCTTTATGGTACACATACATGGTTTAATTCCCATAATCCTTTGTAAATTTGGCAATTGCACCGTGGTATTCGTCATCAGTAGATGGATGTGTGGTTGATAAGCTTTTAAGTAAGTCATCCTTAAATTAGACAAAAATTTTAAATTAAATCGGTTTTACTTGTGGTCAGAAATTCAAATTTAATCTTGCACGTACTTTCCGAGGGATGCAGCAGATTCAACCTTGTATTTTTAAAAGGTTTAAGTGCTTTCAACTGTTTGAGTAGTTAAATATCTATACGCTATCAAAATGATATAAATCTTTCTATTGACAGGTATAGCGCCCTTTCCCAGTATTTCGCCAACATCCATGTTTAAATGGAAAGTACCTATAAATATAAATAGATTTACTTTTCGCATTGGGATTGATTGATTGATTGATTGATTGTTTATTGTTTTACGTCCCATTCGAGAATTTTTCACTCACATAGAGACGTCACCATATACCGGTGAAGGGCTTCAAATTTTGACCTATACTCGGCACTCAGGGCCATTGAGCAGTGAGGGATCTTTATCGTGCCAACGCCTGCCGTGACACGGGGCCTCGGTTTTTAAGGTCTCATCCGAAGGACCCGCAACTTTCACTTCAAAGTGCCGAGCGCATGGCGAAGGAACAGTTGCTACCTATTTTTTATCGACTTAGGTCTGTCGCGGCCGAGATTCGA